ATTTTGAATGTGATGTCTCAGATTACCTGTACCATTTTTACTATCAGACAAGTAATTTGCCCCAAATTTCTTACATTTGGAACGTTGTTTGCCATCATTACCAACTGGCAATATTTCATAATGTCCCCAAACAGTAGAGGTCAACCTCCTCTTATTTTTTATTATTTTCCTCATTTCTAACTGCATTATCACCAACCTCACCCACATCCACATTATTATACTCATCACTATCACATTCTACATCATTATCAATAGGCTCTTGCTCATTTTGCTCGATAGGATTACTGTCAACAATTGTATCATAACCATCCATCTAAACACAAAAAAATGCACATGCTTACGAAATATTAAAGAAAAAAACTAATAATGGTGCATCAAAAAACATTGTAGAGTTGTAGTATAAAATTTAAATAGTACTAGGCTACTAGCAAAATAGAATTCTAGAACTAGCACATGATTTGTATTCCATAACAATTAAAAAATTTCCATAACCACTGTTTTCATAAGCTGATAAGCTGAACAGCTAGTCAGCAATGTGACAACAGAATTAACACTAACAGACAACAGTCCAAGACTCCAAGTGTCCAACAAGGCAATAATCAAACATAATAATTTAATAAATCTAAATTATGAAATAACAAATTCACAACAACAATTTCTATTTGTGTATTGTGTAATCATTGTAATGGCAAAAGATAAATGAAAACCTATTTTCCATTTTTCTAGAGTCCTGACCCACAGAAGCCAGACGGCATGCCGACATGGCGACATATCACATATAAAAATAATGTGATGTCAAAAGAATATGATAAACATCAGGATTCAAGACTGCAAGTCTGCAATGGACCAACGGTGCTAGACAATAGACACTAAAAGTCAAAAATAACAAACCCTAATCTATAAAAACAGCGAACCCTAACATCACTTTCAAATCCAACAATCCAGATTGATAAAGTGTGAAATAAAGGAAGAGTAGAATAGTATATCAGTCGATCAGAAACCAAAACTCAGCAAAATGCTAAAAAACTTCTAAAAAAATAAAACCAAAGTTCACTGATTACAGTCTTACAGACCAAGGAGGCATGGATGACTTGGAGGATATCCGAACTCAACAATTTCCAAATGTGCGAACTGCGAACGACGTGGAGAAAGGCAAGAAGCGAGAGAATCAGAGAACGGAGATAGAGAAACCTTAACTCAGAAATCCCTAAAACGACAACCCTCTGCACTCAGCTGATCCGCTTGACGGCTCGAGTCAAGACGAATAAGTATTAAATGGTTGGCGCGGGTTGGTTCCAGGTCAGAATTGGGTTAACGGGTTGACCCGAACCCGACCCGATTGCTAAAGAGATTCATAATTAAAACTCGAACCCAACATGTTTCTTTAACGGGTTGACCCAAACCAGACTTTTTCAGGTTGGGTTTTTCGGGTTGGGTCAGTTATTGACAGCCCTAATCAGGAGGTGGTCCAGTGGAGGTGAGGGCCTCAAGCGGTGGTCCAGCAAAACAACGATGTCAGGCGGTGGTTTGACAGAGGTGAGGGCCTCAAGTGGTGGTCCGACATAGGTGAGGGCCTCAAGTGGTGGTCTGATGGACCAACGACGTCAGGCGGTGGTCCGGCTGAGGTGAGGGCCTAAAGTGGTGATCCGATAGAAGTTTGTGCCTTATGTGGTGGTTCGGCGGAGCAACGACGTCAAGTGGTGGTCCGGCGGAGCTCAGGCCCTTAAGTGGTGGTATAGCGGAACTCCGGTGTCAGGCAGTGGTCTGGCAGAGGTGAAGGCCTTAAGCGGTGGTCCAATCGAGCAATGACGTCAAACGGTGATCCAGCGGAGGTGAGGGCCTCAATTGGTGGTCCGGTAGAGGTGAGAGCCTAAAGTGGTGATCCGGCGGAGGTGAGGGCCTCAAGTGGTGGTCCGGCGGAGCTCATGACCTCAAGTGGTGGTCCGGCGAGGATGAGGTCCTCAGGTGGTGGTCTGGCGAGACTCCGACGGTGGTCGAGGAGGAGCTTCTTCCTTCTCTTCTCTTCTTCTTTTCTTGCTTTGGATCTCCCTTTCAAGAGAAATGAGGGGTCTATTTATAGATTTATGGAGTGGCATGGTCTGTAAATAGGTGAGAGATCAAGAGAAAAGAGCGAGTGGTCGGATGGACGGCCGATGTTGAATCCCTTGATATTAGACCGTTTGATGGACATTTGAATGTTTTAGTGATGTCAAAATTTGGCAATCTTGGGCTCATTGGATTCGTCCTGTCGAGCCGCTCGATTCGACTATAAGCGCGTAATGTTTGGAAACCGTTTGGTATTCTAAATTGTGGTTCAAACCTTCTAACAGTGATTTGGATCCTTGACTTGGACTCATTTGGGCTCGGATTGAGTAGAAATTGGTGTCGTTGGATTTGTATTTTCAAGACATTCAATTTGACTATAAGTTTGCTCAAATTGGAATTTAGATGGTCCCAATTTTAATTTTGAAAGTTTTCAACTTGATTTTGCATATATATATATTAGTGTCCTGGAATATTTGCGGCGGTAGATAAATATATAGTTTAACGTCTTAGCATTGTATGACGATCCAACACATAAGCAGATTATATAGAGGGTTGTAGCGTTCATAAGAGGCACAAGAGTTTTTACGTGGAAACCCCTGAAAATGGGGAAAAACTATGGGGCATGACCCAGTTTGAATGAATCCACTAGTATTAGCAGTCGATTACAAATGAGGTCATTCCTTAGGAGAAGGCCTTGGCTTGATGTCACAAATATACATCATATATAGTGCATTACATGGTGGGAGTTACAATAATCAACATAGATGTGTTTGATTTGATTGGAAGGACCATAGTAGGCATGAGACAGGGGTCCGAAAGATCGTAGTTAGCAGCAGATCGGAGTCAGAAAGATCATTATCTGGTGATGGTGGTCGGAAGGATCATAGTCGGCATAAGATAGGGGTCCGAAAGACCGTGATAGAAGGGCAGTACTCTAGGAGAACTCTGGGCGTCAAGTGGTGGCCTAGTGGAGCTCATGGCCTCAAGTAGTGGTCCAGCGAAAGTCCGGGCCTCATGTGGTGTCCTGGTGGAGCACATGGCCTAAAGTGGTGGTCTGGCAGAAGTCCGGGTCTCAGGTAGTGGCCTGGTGGAGCACAGGGCCTCAAGTGTTGGTATGGTAGATGTCCGAGCCTCAGGTGGTGGCCTGGTGGAGCACAGGGCCTCAAGCGGTGGTCCGGTGGAAGTGGTCCGATAGAAGTTCGGGCCTCAGGTGATGGTTCGACAGAGCAACGACGTCAGGTGGTTATCTGGCAGAGCTTAGAACCTTAAGTGGCAGTTTGGCGAAACTTTGGCGTTGGCGGTTGTCTAGTGGAGGTGAGGGCCTCAAGCGGTGGTCCGACGAAGCAACGACGTCAGGGCGGTGGTCCGGTAGAGGTGAGGGCCTCAAGTGGTGGTCAGCGGAGGTGAGGGCCTCAAGTGGTGGTCCGGCAGAGCAATGATGTCAAGCGGTGGTTCGGCAGAGGTGAGGGCCTCAAATGGTGATCCGACTTAAGTTTGGGCCTTATGTGGTGGTTTGGCGGAGCAACGACGTCAGACGGTGGTCTGGCATAGCTCAGGCCCTTAAGTGGTGGTCTGGCAGAACTCCAGCATCAGGCGGTGGTCTGGAGGAGGTGAGAGCCTCAAGTGGTGGTCCGACAGAGCAACGATGTCAAGCGATGGTCCGGCGGAGGTGAGGGCCTCAAGTGGTGGTCCGGCGGAGGTGAGGGCCTAAAGTGGCGATATAGCAGAGGTGAGGGCCTCAAGTGGTGGTCAAGCGAAGCAACGATGTCAGGCGGTGGTGCGGCAGAGGTGAGGGGTCTCAAGTGGTGGTCCAGCGGAGCTCATGACCTCAAGTGATGGTCCGGTGAGGATGAGGTCCTCAGGTGGTGGTCCGGTGAGACTCCGACGGTGGTCGAGGAGAAGCTTATTCATTCTCTTCTCTTCTTCTCTTCTTGCTTGGGATCTCCCTTTAAAAAAAAATGAGGGGTCAATTTATAGATTTATGGAGTGACATGACCTGTAAATAGGTGAGAGATCAAGGGTAAAAGGGGGAGTGGTCGGATGGACGGCCGATGTTGAATCCCTTGATATTGGATCGTTTGTTGGACATTTGAATATCTTAGTGATGTCGAAATTAGGCAATCTTAAACTCGTTGGATTTGTCTCGTCGAGCCGCTCGATTCGACTATAAGCACGTAATGTTTGGAAATCGTTTGGTAATCTAAATTGTGGTTCAAACCTTTCAACAACGCTTTGAGTCCTTGATTTGGACTCATTTGGGCTCGTATTGAGTTGAAATTGGTGTCGTTGGGTTCATATTTCCGAGACATTCAGTTTGACTATAAGTTTGTTGAAATCGGAGTTCAGATGGTCCAAATTTTAATTTTGAAAGTTTCCAATTTGATTTTGCATCGAGATTCATGCCAGATCAAGATAATTTTCCTATGATGTTTCAATGCTCCTTAATAGTTTTTAATAATCATTCATTAAATATAATATTAGTTAATCTCAAATTAATCAAATAATTGTTAAAGGATAGTAGGATACTTCAAATTTATAATATGTATAATTTTCATCAACTAAATATTTTAATCCCTTTTATTTTTCAAAGAATTTAATGATATTTAAGCCTAATCAATATCCTTAATTAATCATGAAGAGCCATTTTTAATGGGATTTACATACATATTATTTTATTTACATATATGATAGCTAAAATTTTAATATTATATTTTTATCGCTCATTAAATTTTTTAATACTAAATATATTATTTTTATATTTCATTCTTATCACTCATATTATCGTATAAATTTTAATATTTTATTTTATGTATTCATATTTATTTTATCGCTGATAAATGTTTAATATTAAAAATTTAGATATTAGATATATAAATAGATTTTAATAAAATAGACGGTATGTATGCAATTTTTTATTTTATTTTTATGGATATGACTGAAAGGCTGAACTATAATTAAATTTTCTGACCAGTATTGCCGGGGCCCCGACCGGAGTTATAACGGCTCTAGGGTTTCAAATGCCCGACGAGCTGGCCATCGATGCTTGGGGACCGCTTCGGCAAGGAGATGGAAAGAGAGATCGAAGTTCGTACTCTCGAAGGGGAATCAACGGTCGTGCGGATCTCACCGGACCGACGGGTTGGCGACTTGAAGCTTTTGCTGAGGGATTCGTTTCCTTCGGCGATGACATCCCCGAACTTTTATCTTTTCCTTAAGGTATTACTCGTTTTCAATCTGTATATATTTACCTTTTAGCGTTTTCCGCTTGAGAAATATAAAAAATTGGCATTGAAAATTTATACATCATCAAAAAATTATCTTGATCAGAGACGAATCTTGAGATTGAAAATTTATACACCATCAAAAAATTATCTTGACCAGAGACGAATCTTGAGGCAAATCAAAGTCGGAGGCTTCAAAAATTAAAATTGAGACCATTCGAACTTTGATTTCTGAAAACTTACAGTCGAACTGAGCGTCTCGGAAACACGAACCCAACGACACCAAAAGCGACCCAATCCGAGCCCAAATGAGTCCAAATCAAAGACTCGAAGCACTTTTGGAAGGATCAAAACACAATTTAGGTTATCAAACGGTCTCCAATCGTGACATGCTTATAGTCGAATCGAGCGGCTCGACGAGACGTATCAAACAAGCCCAATATCATCAAATTATGATATCATTAAGACAGTCAAATGTCCATTGAACAGTGCATGATTATAAATCAAGATTGGCCGTCCATCCGAACCACTCCTAATTTGCCCTTGATCTTCCACTTATTTACAAGCATTGTCACTCAAGAATTATATAAATAGAACCCCATTTCCTTTTGAAATTGGGGGGGGGGGAGCAAAGAGAGAAGAATAAAGAGAATGAATAAATCTTCCACTTTTTCGACCACAGCTGGAGTTCTGCCGCACCACCGACGGAGTTCTGCCGCACTACTACTGGAGTTCTGCTGCACTACCGCCGGAGCTCTGCCGTACTACCGTTGGAGTTTTGCCGCATCACCATCGTAGTTCTGTCGCACCTCCGCCGGAGTTTTGCTGCACCACCACCGGGTTCCATCTTCAGACCACAAAGGGACGTCGGAGTTCTGCCGCACCATTGCCGGACCACAAAGGGATGCAAGAGTTCTGTCCAATCACCACTAGACCATCAAAGGACGTCAAAGTGTCACCCGAAGGCGGAGTTCCCCCTGATGCTAAAGTGCCAATGCCGGACCACCACCTGACGTTGGAGTGACACTGGACTTTTGTGAAACTTTCAGTTGACATTTGTAATCTGGTCGCTTTCAAGGACGAGTCAAACCATTGCACTGCTCAAATTCTAGTGGAATCATTTTCAACTGAGTTATGCCTCGTGGTTTTTTCCCTTTACCGAGTTTTTCACGTAAATACTATTGTGTTCTCTGTATGCGAGCTAGATATCCGTGCAACGCTAAAACATAGAATTATAAATATTTTGCCACGTATATTCTAGCCCGCAACAAAAATCATCTTCAGGTTCGTTAAGGTTTGGCTTATACATGCTCCAATAGCATATACACATTTTTTTAATATTTTTTGTTAGTTTTTAGGGTTTAGGAAATTTCAAACATTGTTTTTGGTGGCATAAATGGATAAATTTAGTTATTTTTGCTTTTTATTAGAACATACAAAAATGTAATACCATGCATGGGAGAGTTGAAAAATTCCTTTGTAAAAACTCCTGAGATTAGGCGCTATATAATTTTTTTAAATATAGTATTTTTTTAATTTTCTCTAGAGGTTATTTTCTTATTGTAATGCATATGATGATGGTGCATAAACTAATTTGGAAGGGTAAAAAAATTATAAATTGGTATATGATTTTGATACAATGTCAATGTAGAAAAAGAATATATGTTAAATTAAATTTTTTATTGGTTTGATCATTTAAGATGCTTTGCATGTCGATCTTGATGACAAAGTAAGAATTATCCATGTGTGCCATGAGGGGTCCTCAAATCAATTCCGAAGGCAAAAATTATGGGTGAATAGGCTAGCAATTTTTGTGTGAATCATTACAAATTCGTTCAAATATCATGCTCAGATCGAACAAGTTATTTCATCAAATTTAGGGTGGATTAAAACATCATTCCTTTCACCTATAAGTATGCTCAAATTGAATAATTGATGAAACATTAATTATAAGCCAATCGTGCAATATACATACACTAATGTTTCCACTTAACAATATTGATGAAGCATAACGCTTGACAATCATTAAGTGCAACAATTCCCTTTGTAACGATTCACTTCTTTTCTCTATGTAACCCTATAGCATGTCCTTAAGAGACTATGAAAGGCAAAATTGAGGGAAGCCTAAGAAGAGTTATTTTTTATCCCAAAAGGCATCTTCCTCTTCTTGAAAAATTTTTCCCCTTTTACTATTCTCTATGCATTACAATCACTTCAACTTTTAATAGAAATAAACTTATCCCACCTTATATTGGATTTAGGTCACATTATTGAACCACTATAAATATGTCTATTTGGCGTGTGAATTCTGTTTTTTTAATGTTTGGATTATAAGCATTTCTCTTATGTTTTGGAAGAATCTTGACTTTGGTTATTTCTCACATATTTTGAGCTTAGAATTATCAATATTTTCCACACATTTGAAACTTTTTTTTGAGGAGGTTATCAATTGAGTTAGAGGAAAATAGCTATATGAGAAAACACTGCTAATACATGCAAAATGATTAGATGCTTGATCTATGTTACTCAAGTGAAATCACTGAATTTTCTACCAAAAAAAAAAAAAAAATCTTATTTTGCCAAAGTCTCTTCTTAATTAGTTACCCATCTTGGCCGCCCCTTTGACTGTTCCAGTTGGCTCCTCTAGTATCTTGCCTAGATTTTTTTCATAAATTTTCTGCAACAACCAGTTATACCTGCTCTGGATCTCCTCAAATCTCTATATAACACAATGAATCTCCTGAAGCATCTTATTACACGCAAGTATAATGCTTCCCTTGACACATGCCATCATATTCAACCATTCCCAAAGCAATATATGTTCATTCGTGTTATGATCCGTCGCATCCCCAACAACTTCCCTATGCCAAACAAACATTTTTGGGGCATGTGGTCAAACCACTGTCTATTATCACTTAGCTCATGATATTCTTCTAGTGTGTCACATGTTTTGCAAACCATGCCACGCCATTTCCTCGATGAGGAGGCCATTTATGACTCTAACATACCAAGGAGCATACAGTTCCATGCCTTGTGCCATTCACATTCTCATCGGTGATGTCAGCATCACCTTAGTCCTCAGTTGACATACCAGTGCTACTTCAACCCTTCAAGGTTTAGAAATACGTCCCTTCCCACTTTAGGAAGGTGAAATAGGTGAAATGAGAGATTGTTGAGCTTGGTTAAATGTGAAATCCTATGTAAAGCAAAGGATAATTGGACTCCTTCCTCATCTTCTTCTTCCCCTTCTTTCTTCTTTATTGGTGCTAGTGGGCAATCAAGGGGAGCCTTCACTCTACACATACATTCTCCTTCCTCCATAGTTCAAACTCCCCCTGTTTACCTCATAGATGTAGAGAACAATGTTGAACCACGTAAAATCTAAATTTCATTTGTTGCTTTTTTTGTGCTCCTTACTCTTGATAGCTTTGCAAGCGCTACCCTTGAAGGTCAAACTCATTGACCTCATGCATGCCATAAGGTCTCCTCTATGTTTTTTAAGCCTACCTTAACCTTCTTGCAAGTCATCTTCAACTCGAAAGTCCATGAGGAGAGAGGACTACCTTTCACAAACCAATAAGAATCTCCTTCATTCATCATTGCTCGCCTCGTGCCCATCATATCCCATAGGCAGTGCTTGATGCAAGACTCCCACGTTGACCTCTCGGGTAGGTTTATTCCATTTATCCATTCTTAGAGGTGTTCAGACTAGACCCCACAATATAGTTTTTTTGCCTCCACAACAATCTCCACCTCTTCCTTTCCTCACCCCGCACCAGTTTCAAACTTGTGCGTAGGGACGGAGCATTACTGGACGGGTCATATTTTTTTTTCCGCTCCTAACTCCGTTTTCTCCTCTCTCTCTTGTGGGATTACCAATTCTTGTCATCTCACAACTATGTGTATGATGGTTCCTTTTTCGTTCTTTCTGCCACCTAAATTAAGATTTATCTTGGATTGAAGGCTTTCCTTCTTATCCTTGCTAGATTTGATCCAACAATTGCCTTTGGCCTCCCCTCTCGTCCATATCTTTCCCAACCGTTCACATTCAATCCAGTTGGGTTAGCTCTTGCATCAATGCAAATATCTCTCCACTGGCCTTCACCATTGTCTTCGGCTTCAAGAGTTGTGCATGTGTTTGATTCCTCCTCCTTTAGCACGTCATGATAGGACTGAATGGGGCATATTTGCTCAGCATGTTCACAATGACTTGGTAGTTTTCGAGCAAATCTCTTTATACGTAATCAAATAACCTACTCATATCGAGCAAGTCTTACATCAACTACAAAGTGGATTCAACCATCAATATTGCTAGCTATAAATTTGTTCGGGCTAACTAATGAAATTAATTGCAAACCAACCGTTTGATGTAAAACATAACTATTTTTTATCATTAACATTGATGAAGTGCAACTCTTTTCCATGGTTAATTACAATGCTTGGAGGAGGGTGTGATGTAGAACGAATGGGGTGGGGGGAAAATTTGAAATTGAAAAAATGAGAAGGGGAAGGGGGGGGGGGGGGTTAATTAAATCCATAAATGGATATCCAATTAAGGAATTAAATAACTAAGGGGGGGAGGGGCCGACGGCATTAAGAGAGACTTGAGAGTTTATGGAGGGAGATTTAAATGCTTGCCAAGTGGGGAATCTTAAATTATGGAGGAATATTTAAATCAAATCCTATTTGAATTTTAAATAGGTTTGATTTGAATACTTTCATAAAATAAGATAACTAAATTAGAGAAAAGGATTTGAAATTTAAATACATTTGAATTTAAATTCAAATGCTTTCCATATTAAAACACATCTACAATAGGAAAGAAGGCTATCAAGCAAGATTGACTCCAATCAAGAGCAAAAGGGAAGGGGCAGCAGAAAGGAAAAGGAAATTAATCAAGTCTTCAATTAAGTGAGAAATGATTTAATCAAATAAAATTCTAAATTGATTGGAATTTGATTTGAAGAACTTTCCAAAAATAGATATAGTAATTTAGAAAAGGTTTTGAATTTTGAACTAATTGGATTTGAATTCAAAATTCTTTTTAAATTATTTTCAACCTAATTTAGGAAAATGAAGGGGAATGAAGGAGGGAAGAGGCTAGGGGTGAGGTGGTTGGCTAGCTATGGAGGTGGAGGGGTTTATGGTCGGCGGTTGATATGGATAAAGTGGAGGAGGCTTGTGGATTTGGTGGGGTTTGTGGGAGAATCGGCTGGTGGCAAGTGGGGGATTTTGGCCTGCGGTCAAGGGAGGAGTAGAAAAGGATTTAGGGAAAGAAATAGACAACCGTGAGCCGGACACATCCTGCAGTTGATAGGTAATACGTTGCTCTTCTCCAAGGGACTTCAAGCCACGAGCCCGGACCCATCTTGTGGCTGGTGGAAGCTTCGATTAACTCCAAAAAAAAATCTCACCCAAGTTCTCTCCAAAGAACACAAGTACAATTTTTTTTAATTAATAATCCATCCCCTCATACAAGAGCAAGGGCTTTTATGTATATTGGCCTCAAAATAAAAGAAATTAAAAAAGACAACTTTGCCCCTTGGGATTACATAAGACAAGACTCTTAAATAAGGGTAAAAATGAGAAATGTAAAATTAAATCAAAATACAATTAATAAACTAAGATAAAAAAGGAGTGATCTCGGCCATTGATTTTCGTCTCTTCCATTGAGTAACGTCCACCGTCGGATGTATGCGTCAGGGTGTTTCCCAAAAGGCTTCTTCCTCCTCTTAGGAATTTTCTTCTTGCTCACTATTCTTTTTTTTGCCTTCCCCACACTACACTTTTTTAATAGAAATACAATTCTCTTTCCCTATAATGGACATAGGTCATAGACCCAGCCCGCTATAAATCTTTTTGTTTAGTATTTTTTCCATTTGGGTTGCTTGAATTTCTCTCCCTTTCTTGAAGTATCTTGACCAAGCCTTTTCTCAAATATTTTTGATTATAAAGGACCAATCTTTGCTGTTCACAAGGCCTTTATTGAATATTAGAATATTTAATAATCATTTTAAAAAATATTTGATTTTGGATAATTGAATTAAGCCGAGCCTTTTTTTTATGACAAAATTGAAATATTTTTAATTGTTTTAACATTTGGATAAGCTTTTAATTTAATGATTAGGTTAGAAACATTGCTTAATTTGGTTCTGTATATTAGTTAAGGAGATAAATTCTCTATTATAATAAATGTAGGAATGTAGGATTCTTTTTGGTACTTTTATTTTTCCAATGAATACTCCTATATCCCACCTCATTAATAAAATTTGAAAAAAAATGATAAAATATTGAGAAAGCTTACTTTCAAAATGAAGTTCTCTCCCAACTTCATGCTTCAGAGAGACACTTCTTCTGTCCCCTTCATTTTATATATAGTTTTCATGTCATTTCCATGCTTGGGAGTCTTTCATAAAAGACTAACCCAAATTTATGGTATAAGTTTGGTTGACTTTGATGTTGATACTTATGTCGTTTCTACAAATTATCTTATGTAGTGGATGCTTTTCTTTTGTGCGCCTTTCTAGGGCTCCAGATTGAACTTGAATAGTCGGATAGGTAGCCACCAAATTGAAGGGGGTCAATTCATGGTTCTCGTACCATTTACCAAGAAAAACCAGCCGGTTCCATTGCAACAGGATCCAATTGAGCAGGATTCTCAGCCTTTAATGAACTCTGGGGGAAATTCGCAATCTACTGCTGACTCTATATGGCTTGACATCTTGGGTGATATTTCATCTATGAGTAACATTTCAACAGATGATTTGAGCAATAATGTTGACAGTACATCACAAACATGGGGAGAAGAGGATGTTTCAGTGGCTGAAAAACCTAAGAAAAGGAGGAAGTTATCAGATAGTTTTTGTACTATTCATGATCTTTTATGCTCTGACTTTGAAGATATATTTGACCAAAATAAAAGTAATAAGATTTGCCAGCTTGTGGAATCTGTCAACTGCTTATCAGATCCTAATACAGGAATGTGTTTGTTACAAAAATATTCTGATAAAGGGATTCCTGAGGACGACCAATGTGCTTGTCCATTGTGGCTGAGGAGAGTTCTTAAGACTTTTACTTTGATGAATGTCCTTTACGCCTTTTTTCATTTACAAAGGAAATGCATGACACTGGGTTTTTTAAAAGGAGCGTTCAATCAACCAAATATGTTTGGGCTTGATGACTTGTGCATCTCTTATGTGGATAAGCTTTCACTTCTTTGTCCAAAGGTAACTTTTATCCTAACTGAATTGAAATAGTTTTATTAACCACATTTCTTTTTTGTTTTTAGCTGGTCGGATTCTGTAAGGAAAATCCTTTAGCTACAAATGATTTTTATTTTTGGACCTTATGCTTATCATCAAGCTCTGCTTTCTTGCCTTGTGCCCGACTAATGAAATCGTACCTTATTGAAGTAGTAAGTAATATGACATGAGAAACAAATAGTCTCAGTTATCCTGTCATGAATGCTGAATCTTAACAAAATTAAATAGGAAAACTTTTTTTTGTGCGTGGCATCTTTCATTTAATTTCCTATCGATGTAGTAGCTTTTTTATTATCTTGTGGAACTGCTTGTTTTCATATGTTTGATATTCCTTCATGTGTTTTACCCCACCCGCACCTCCACCCCCTATTAACTACTTGGGAAATTGTGTCTATTTTACATAACTGTTATAGACATATTTCCTTTCTATGTCCAGGTGGTAGTTGTGTTAGACAATGAGGAAAATGTTGTCACTTCTCAAGGATCATCTATTATCATTCACGATTTTTCAACAGAATCAAGTAATCAATCTAAACTCGCAAAAGAACCAAGACCTGGTATGATGTTTGTTTATTCTCCTTTCTTCTACGATTTTGTGAAGTTTCAATCTCTCTACGAAATTTAATTCTTCTTTTTCACAGCAAGGCGGCTATCTACTTCCACAGTTATCAATGCAGCAGAAAAACGAATGATGGCATTTAGAATGGATTTATGGAGGCTTCTCCAATGCTTCATGGTATATCTAAACCAAGAATCTAATACGAGTTCATATTTGAGACCTCTAAGATTTTTATGGAAAACAAAGTGGAAAGTGTCACAACTTTATTACTCTAGTTATAGTTTATTTTGAATGACACATTTCTATTTTTGTAGCATGCCTTCGAACATCAGATAGACATGGTGATGCATAAGGCTAGGGCAAGTTTGCACAAAATCCATGCCTGTTAATTATTGAAAACTTTAAACCACACCACCAACCACCCCCAGCCCCATGCATGAAAGATGAGATGTGTGTTTTTGAGATGGAAAGTCTACGTTTATTTGTAGAAAACTTGAAATTTATTGTTCCGTTTCTATATTATTTGCTATCGTTACATGCGATATATATTCACTACCAATATGGCCATCATTAGTTGGATAGCTCGATGATTGGAGAGAAGCCATGCCAAATGATGCCATGTACTGATGTGAGTAACTTACCATGTGCATACTTACCAAAACACAACATTCTAGGTTTTATCCAGTTGAGATGGGTCTGGGAAGCAGGGCTTGGTACCCATAGCATAACGATTGTGAGGAAGAGAGGTACGAAGAAGCTATGAAGAATTCAAGTCATGGAGAAGAGAGGAAAAATTGAAGTGTAGTTGATGCGGACATCCAACCATGAAAGCTTATCAGAGGAGGAGACGAAGATCGACGGCCCTGATCGCACCATTCTATTTTAAGTTATTATTTGTATTTTTATTTATTTATACATTTCTCCTTTTACCGTCACTTGAGGGAATAGTCCTATGTAAGCTCTAGGGGAATGTTTGTCTTTTGAGTTTCTTTAGTTTTGAGGCCTATATATAGAGGTCCATGCTATTATATTAGGATGATGGATGAATATTAAGAAGAATTTTTCTACACTTTGTTCTTGAGAGCTATGTGAGTTCTTAGGAGAGTGGAAGTCCCTATGTGAGGGCAACGAAATACCCACCAGCCACAACAAGTGTCCGGGCTCATGGTTTGAAGTCTCTAGGTGAGGGCATCGTAGTACCCATCAGCCGCAGGAAGCATCCAGGCTCATGGTTTATCTTTCTTTCTCTAAACTCCCATTCTCCTTCTCCATTGACCGCCGGCCAAATCCCCTCCATAGCCGCCGGCCAACCACCCCTCTTCCCCTCCTCTAAATGTTGGCCACTTCTCCCACTCCTACCAACCGCCATCCTCCAACCTCTCCACCTCAATCCCAAGTTATGGCCCCTCCTTAACCGTTGGCCTCCCTAGCCCACACCTTAGCCGCCGGCAAGTCCCCTCCAAACCTTTGTTTCAAATTCAATTGGCCTCATAAACACTTTCCTAAAATATCTTGTTATTAATTTGGATAGTCTATGAATTTGAATTCAAGTGATATTTGAAATTCAAAAACTTTCCTAATTCCTAAATCTCTTTTAGGAAACCCCCCAAATCTCTCCCAATCTGAAATTAATTAGAATTAATTCCAATATTCATGTTCATTGAACCTAGACACATTCATTGAATGTGGACAACTCCTCCCCCTCCTCTCTCTTGGCCGCCCCCTTATTGATGTAGAACGGGTAGGAGGTTTTCAATCCTATGGGTCTTGAAGAGCGACTCGTGAAGTTTAAACGGTAGCTTTTGAACCTTGGGAAATTCTGGATAGGCTTGAAAGGAGAAGTTATTTTATCATTAAATTCTCCTTCAATCAAATTAAAAAGGGGCAGCCATTAGGGGGAGAAATTAAGGGGGTAATTAGTAGACGATGAGGTGGCAAAGAGAGAGAAACGGCTATGTGTTGGGGCCGGCCAAGCAAAGGAAGAAAGAGGGGAAATTTTCTTAAGTAGTGGGGCCCATGGGATTAATTAAAACCTAATTTGAATTTCAGGTTTTAATCAATTAGAAGGAATTCAAATTTTGAAAATAAAACTGATAAGATTTCATTTAATCTCTCCCTAAATATAAGGCATTAATTTAGGAAGGATTAATGAGAGAATTAATGCCCAAAAATTTGAATTTTTCCTGGGCTAGGTGGCGGGATTGCCTGGACAGAGGAGGGGGGGACGGGCTAAGGGTTTCGGTGGCCTGGAGGGAGCGGTTGGCTGGCATAGCGGGGAGGCAGGGGTGCGGGTGAGGGAGTTCGGGCGGAACAGGGGAGGGGATTTCGGGATTTTGACTGCAGGGGAGGAAACGGTTGTATGGAGGAATTGGTAGGGAAGAGAAAAACAGTGAACTTACAAGGAAAAACCAAGAGCTCGCCGGAGCGGGTTGTTGGGTATTGCGGTCGGAGCCTCACCTTGGCCTCCTCTCTCTTTTCTCTCAAGCTCTCAAGCAAGAAGACAAAAGGAATTTCAGAAAATTTCATTCATCAATCATCAACTCATACAATAAGAGGAGATCTCATTATAAAGACCTCAAAGCATGAAAAAAGACTCACATGTCCCTTGGGCTACAATAAACACTATGCCAACATAAGGGCGAAATCGTCACAAGTACATGAAATAAAAGATACACACAATAAAATAACATAAAAAATGACATGATAACATCAAAAATATAAACTCCCGATCGTAGCCGTTGATCTACGATTTCTTCACCGATAAACCTGCCTAAAATGTCTGTTGATGACCTCATCGGATGGTGAATGATGGAGACTAGAGATGAGAGGACGGAGAACAAAGAAAAAATAAAATAAAAACAATACAAACCTCGAGCCCGGACTCTTTCTGCGGCTGGTGGGTACTACGTTGCCCTCCCCGAGGGACTTCAATCCATGAGCCCGGATCCATCCTGCGGCTGGTGGAAACAAGGTTGTCCTCCCATCGGACTTTTCCTCTCTAGAACTCACACAGAGATCAAGACAAAGGCTCCAATTCTTTTTTTATTAATAATCCACCAACCATTACAGAAGCAAGGGCTTTTATATATAGGCCTAAGAAACTAAAACAAGACACATATGCCCCTAGGGCTTATATAGGACGACCCTCTTAAGGGTAAAAATGGAAAATTCATAATAAAAATAAAAATTACAAATAACAAATTAAGATAAGCTGGAATGATCTCGGCCGTCGATCGTTGTCTCATCCTTTAAAAATCTTCATGATCAGATGTCCGCATCACAGGGCTTGGTACCCATAGCATGATGATTGTGAGGAAGAGAGGTACGAAGAAGCTATGAAGAATTCAAGTCATGGAGACAAGAAGAAAAATTGAAGAGTAGTCCTTAAGGAGAAGGGCTACTCATGCAGAGAGGGCATACTGCGATTGTGGGAGTGGGGCCTAATTAGGACACAGTCCAAGCAAGGGTGTTATAGCGAACATATGAAAGCAATGTGCATGCCTGTGTGGACAATGGCTGGCTAGTCAGGAGCAGATGAGTGCATGTGTCGATTGGTTGTGAGCGTGCAAATGTGTGTAGCTAGCGACGGGCGGTGTGTGCGATCAACCACAAAGTGAGCGAGCGAACAACCAATGAGGGAAAAATTATAGAGTGCAACAATAGGTTAGCAATGCGTGCGAGAGGGAGCAATTTGTGTGAGTAAGCTTGTCATAGGATTCGGCTGTTAGGTTTTGGTTGACTGGGTACAATGATGTGCTATTAGGTGATGATGGGGTGTGGGCGGGGACGACTAGGATTTAGCGGTGCTCTAATAACACATTGAGAAGAAGGATTTTGATTTATCTGTGCTCTAATTCCATGTTGAGAAGAAGGATTTTGGTGTTATTGTCTAAATTTAGGTTCTTATATACAGACATGCATTTGAGGAAACAAATAAAGGAGTGAGTAATCACAATTATGAGGGAATAAATTCATGTTCCCTCAAATCAACTGCTCCTCTAAATAACCTTTTTCTAGTATTGTTTTCCTACAATGTCATATGCCAACAATAACCTTGTAAGGGGGTGTAGGGAATCAACTGTGGATATATTTCTAGTTCTGAGAAGTAAAAACAGTGCTTTTCTTAGCAATGCCATTTACGTCAAAGTATATGCATTTTTGTTTTTGTTATTCTTAAATATGCAGAACAGCAAATGTAAATCTATTATTCTGAAATCCATTTTCATGGTAAGTATCAACTTTTCTACTAACCTTATGGATGACTCTTTTCATTACTTTTTCTTCGTCTTCCCATTCCTATTTTCTGATAGACTTTAGTTATGCAGGAAAATAGACACTTTATAACAAGCATGCCTGGTATGCCGTCTTTGGAAGATATTATAACTCTGAAGGGTTCTGAGCCTGTCCAAGGATGCATTAATGTCAAAAAAGCAAAGTCTGGAACTTCGACATCAAGATGCTGTGTAGGTTTTCATTTTATCTTTTTCATCACTAATTTATTTTTTTCCCTACTAGTTCCAATATTCCATTTTATATTTTTATGAGCATGCCTTTTTTGTGTTGGTTTTCCATGTTACAACTTTTTTCTAATAATTGTTCGATTTCTTGTATTTAGGAAGAAAACCTTGAAGTTGCTGTGGCAAAGTTTATTTATTTATTTGTTTCATATCAAGAGATATTTCCTTTTGTGCAGCGTCATGGGCAAAGGAAATTGCAATGCCCAAGATAAGATATAGAATCTGTATTTTGAAAACAAGTGCCTTTTGTAATTATATTGTGAATACTATCAGCTACAGGAGTTGCAGCAACTAACATGTTTTAATTAGTTGGTTTTCTATCCTTCTTTGACTTTAGTTTACCTTGAGTTTTGTTTTTGTTTGCCTTAGTTTGGTTTAATGCTGTTTATGTATTTAACCTTTTTTCCTGCTTGGCTTTTCCCTGTAAAACATTTCTACTTTCTCCCTGCGTCACACTTCTTTCCCAGTATGCTTTAAATACTCAAAACTATCTTAATCTATTGTCTATTAAGGAGTTTTTTATTCAAGCTCACACATTTTATTTTTTCAAAGGCAAGAGATCCGTTAAGAAGAAGATTGATAAGGAACTGCATTTGACAAGCTGGGCTGCTTCTAACTTCTTACATGCTAACTGTTTCCTGTCTTTCAAGTCCATCTTAGTGGATGACTGGAAGGATCCTAAAGTCTTCGTGCATTGCTAGCAACTTTGTTTAGGCTATCAGGAGTGAAATAGAGAAGTGACATTGAAAGGAGTAACATGTTTAGGACTATAGTTAATTCTTGAACTAAGGTACATTTTTTCTGTCACTCAAATCACATAGCGTTAATGATCAGCTTGTAGTCTGTCTATGTATATGCCTATATGGGCAACAAAATGTGTTGCAGGGTTTTTAATTGAAGTCAACTAGCAAGATCTAGCCTCTAATGAGCTTCTTTAACACTTTATCCATACTAACTTGCCAACCTCTTTTTCTTTTAACTACTTTCCCTCCTCCAAAGTACATGATCACGTTTTTATATATATCTTCAATCCCTTTATTATGAATTCCTTCTAATTGAGGGACCAAGATCGCTTTGTAGTTTCTCTGCTTTGGTAGTGCCTATTCTACCTTGCAAAAAGCCAACTCTTCTATTCTGCTTTGTTTATTAGCTTAAAATTGTAATTTATATTATAATTTTAATAGCATGTAAGTTTCTAACTTTTTTAATGTTATGGGGTCATTGAGAAATAAGTTTATTAGTTCAATGCATTTTATCTTTCTTGTTTTCATTATACTTTTGGAAAATACTATATTCCTAGTTTAAGTAGATTTGAACATTTTAACGGCAAAGTCTACGCTCCATTATATAGATGTATTGACCAACATATTTGTCCTTATAGTTTATTTCAGGATTTGAAAATATTACATTCATGTTAGTTGTGGCCACAGTTGAGATAGCCTTGTAAAATAATTGCTAAACTGAGGTAAATGCAATGAGCAATGATACTCATGCTGTTTTGGCAAGAAAGTCAATGTGTGATTGTTTTTTTCCTACTTATGTTTTATTTTACTTTTAATTTCCTTCTCTCTCTATTTAGTTTTCGCATAGGTAATTGGGAATAAATCCATATGTTTGATGGAGCGTGCAACTAGACGCCCCCTCCCCCTTCCCCTCCCCCCTATGGTTTTTAGTTGTTTTACAGAGTTGCCCTTGGGTGTTCAATTTTTTATTTGCACAAGGTACTGAAATTTTGGTGTTATAAGTTTCTAATAAGTCATTTTGCTCATTAGACGCTAAACTAATGCAATACGCTTAAAGCTCTAGGGTTTTTTATGCAAGTAGAATATGCAGTCGATTTATATAACACAAAAAAAATTAAGATTTAGAGACCAAATAACAATAAATACATAAAATTTCACGTTCTTTTTTAAAAAAAGAAATTGGACCAAAATGACAATCAACAATCGATTAAATCCAAAAAATTCAATGAGAAATTTGAACTAAAAAAATAAGCGTGCAGTTTAAATTTTATACAATTGAAATTCTAATTTTGACTAAATTGAGTATTTGCATTGCTGATAAGAAAATAATAGTGAGAAAAAAGTAAATGAAAGAGTTAATTGTAGTGTTGAAGATCTTGTCTTACTATAGTACAAAGAGATGACTTTATTAGAATTAAGTTGTCACACTTTTATGATACTTGAAGGAATTACACATCCAACTCGCACATATAAGATTGAAAATTGAAATCTAAATTTGTATTCAAGGAAAGCTAAATTTACATGTCTCAGGCAACTTTCACAAACCTGAGTAGATATAGTTGGCACAAAATCAGTAATGTTCAATTCTTCTAGCCCCAAAATTCAAATCTCTGTTTCCGTGGATAGGTTTCAATGCTAACAACCAAAACCTTACAATGACATTCTTAATTTCAAGCAAGCATGTGAAGCTAAAAACCACATTGTTGCGGCGAGTTGTACCTTTAGAGATCATACACATTAAGCGACCTATGAAATCCTTATCCACAACTCATCAAATAACAGTAAAAGCAAATCATTGAACCCATTAGGTAAAGAAAACCACTAATAGCGGTAAAGTGATCCATATGACTCAATGGAAGAGACGAAGATCAATGACTGAGATCACTCTTTTTTTATCTTAGTTTTTTACTTGTATTTTGATTTAATTTTGCATTTCTCAATTTTACCCTTATTTAAGAGTCTTATCTTATATAAGCCCACGAAGATCAATGACTGAGATCACTCTTTTTTTATCTTAGTTTTTTACTTGTATTTTGATTTAATTTTGCATTTCTCATTTTTACCCTTATTTAAGAGTCTTGTCTTATGTAAGCCCAAGGGAAAAGTTGTCTTTTTTAATTTCTTTTTTTTGAGGCCTATATATATAGAGACCCTTGCTCTTGTATTAGTATGATGGATTATTAATTAAAAGAAAAAGGTTTGCACTTGTGTTCTTTGGAGAGAACTTGGGTGAGATTTCTATGAGAGGGAATCAGAGCTTCCACCAGCCACATGATGGGTCCGGGCTCATGGCTTGAAGTCCTTTGGAGAAGGGCAACGTATTACCCGTCAGTTGCAGGATATGTCCGGGCTCACGGTTGTATCTTTCTTTTCCTAAATCCTTTTCTTCTCCTCCCTTGATCGCCGACCAAAATCCCCCACTTGCTACCAGCCGATTCTCCCACAAACCCCTCCAAAGCCACAAGCATCCTCCACTTTATCAATATCAACCGCCGGGCATAAACCCCTCCACCTCCATAGCCGGCTGACCACCTCACCCCTAGCCTCTTCCCTCCTTCATTCCCCTTCATTTTCCTAAATTAGGTTGAAATAATTTAAAAAGTATTTTGAATTCAAATCCAATTAGTTTGACATTCAAAACCTTTCCTAAATTATTAGATCTATTTTTGGAAAGTTTTTCAAATCAAATGCCAATCAATTTGGAATTGTATTTGACTAAATTCTTTCTCCCTTAATTGAAGACTTGATTAATTTCCTTTTCCTTTCCTCCCATAACTGGCCCCTTCTCTCTCTACCTGCCACCCCTTCCCCTCTTGCTGTTGATTGGAGTCAATCTTGCGTGATAGTCTTCTTTCCTATTGTGTGTGGGCTCCGAAAATTCGGCCCCGGCCTCCCCGCCGCGCTTTTCTTTTCTTATTTGGCGATGGAGTTTTAACGAACTAGTTCTGGGGTAAATTTTGGAAGGCAGATGGGTTTGTAGATAAGACACTACCCAGAGATTTCGCCCTCATTTTGCGAGGACTTTATGATCTGAGTTCTGGTTTCCTATAGGCGCAAGCCCCTATAGTTAATTACCCCTCCCGATCACGAGAGAGAACTTTCGATTAAGGCTAGTCATCGATCAGATACGTAGTAAAATACGTGTTATCTGGCATATAGTAGCAGCAGTAGGGTATTGAGATTGGGAATTTGGAAAAGTTTGGAAGATTTGGAGATTTTGACATTTAAAAGTAGAAATTGCACCATCTTATACTTAAAGCGGATGGTGGGGGAATGGATGATGGACCCGATCAAGATCCCATGGTTCCGTCGTCCCGGGCCATCGTGGTCCCTGGTCTACTTAGTC